CGATTCAGATTAAAAATGGAAGAAAAGAAAATTTTAGAATTTTTGAAATTCACATTTCTTTGATTTTGGGATTGAATTATAATTATTGTTGATTTTATTGACTTTTGATTGTTACTTGAGGTTTATCTATTTAAAGAATATCAAGTGGACCCAGTCATTATTCAACAAGTAAGAGTGCTCCAGTCGAGACTGCTCGCTTAGGAGATACCCTGTACGCTCCAAGCTAATATTCGACTCAGCTCATCGTGCTGATTCCTTCTGCCTGTTACATTATTTTCCACAAGATCATTATACCCTGATTTCCCATTTTCAATGGGTTCAAGGTATAGAAATGAGCCTTCAATCATAAATCGATTATAATTTATGGTCATATGAACGTTAACCATATGAGCCTATAAAGCTTTTTGAATTTGATAGAATTTTGTTGAAACGTAGGGTATTCATTCACGATTATTACTGCATTAAACGATATTATTATACTTTTGTATTAATCCTTGGCGATGTGTTCCTAGTAGCATTTACAACAATTTAAGTATTGTTATCAACGTGGTTTGTATACCTCTGATTCATAAAATGTTCAACTTTTCCCGATCCGCCCACTAGGAGCGTGGATAATCGGAAAACGCTTTTTCCGATGCGTCTACGCCCTGTAGAGGCGTGGCAAATCGAGAAATACAGAATTTTCTACAGTATTAGAGCAAAGCTTAGCTACTAAATGGTGTGAATGAGTATTCCGCAGTAGGTAACGCTTGACTGCAACGTTCTTACCTGTTTTTTTTTTTTTTTAGATTTATGGGTAAAAGTTCTAGAATTGGATAGACAGTTCTAAACCTCTGCATATATCACAAAAGGTAATATTTTGATTGACTAACGAATTCTTGTTTTATTGCTTCATTTCACATGCTCTCATTAATTACAGTGACTCATTCAAAGATTATGTTAAATTAGGTTTAATAAAAGCCTCCGAATAAGATTGACACGCTTTATACCGATTAGATCTGTGGCAGGCCACAGTTAGATAGCACTGCTTTTGTCATCTAAGGAACATCATCATCTCCTCCGGAATGTCATGCCACATAACAGGCATTGAAACCATTTCCTTTCTCAAAAGGTTTCCAAGAAAGAAATGTCCTCTCATGTATTTTCATTACATTGTACTTTGATGTTAGTAGATCCTAAAGAAAATATTAAAATTAATTAAATAAATAATCATAATCATCATCAGTTAGAATTGTGTTTTTCTTACTTTTATCCATAGAGCCTGCTTTTCCTGATCTGTGGGTAGGTAAGAAAAGAGCGTAGGAAAATTTATAAAAATATTTGCATGGCGCAGATAAATACAGTGCTAACAAGCTATAATATCTCACATTAATATTGCAAGGTCGGCGGGTATTCGACAACGGAACCAGGAGCCAAAGCTTCAATCAGCAACAATGTTGCGGGAATAAATTTGTGACACAATGTGACGCTCTGTGCGAAACGCACGGTCAGCACTTTTTGAGCTTAGGGCTTGCGTTAGCTGTAAGAAATTATATTCTTAATAATTAGTTGCAATTTGAAAATAAATCGAGTCGGTCGTCGTCACGTCTCCTCTATCTGCGGTGTAATTGGTTTTTTTTTTTTTCATTATGCTGGGATCTATGTTCTGTGTTGCGATCTAAAACCATCTTGCATTGAAGTACTAAAAAGGATGTACTACGAAACAAGAAAAACAATCTTTTTAGTCCTTATTGCCACGTTGTTTCCCTATTGTTACTCAAAAGAAGACTATTATAATTATTAGCTTATTCATTCAATTCAATTCAAGACCAGTTTGAAATTTGAATAATGTTTATGACGTGATGAAATTTGTGGATAAGGATAGACTTTTTTGCACGTATAAATTATATGATCCAACCATTGACACATGGCGAATCCGAATATTTTGATTTTTTAATCAATTAAGTGGAGTGCAGGGTATGATCTGAACGACTATTATAAATTGGCTTTAAGATATTTTGCGAATAATATAATTTACAGCAATAATGAGCCAAATCATATACATATATAAGTCACAATCCATAAAGTACATCTTAATTTTGACCAGATAATTAACAGATCTACTGTTTCTAGATCTTATGTATTCCACCGCTTTCACTTCTTCAAAATCTTAATATTTGAGTGATTGGAAAAGAGGATAATACCTCATCATTTACTTTTCTCCCATATATAATAAACTACAGTTTTCAGTCTTATTTTCTTCCACTTTGAGCTATTAAAAAGTTATTGTAATTATTTATTTAAGATCTTTGACAAGTTTCATAAATATATATTTGCATGTTACAAATTGTTTACATAATTATATTTTATACATTTACATTAGTATGAATATTCATTCGAGATATTTTCGCTGCGTAGTGTGGCTCTACAGGAAATCAATAAGAGGATGTAATTCGGAAGATTTGGGGCTTAAAGTAGCAAGTTGCTCAGATCTCCTGAGTGATACTTAGGGCATGATGGTACATTGGAAGGTTATATTAAAGTTATGACATTAGCTTTCTTGTTTACGATAGCTAGTTAAATTTGCCTTATGTTCGACTCTCCTCTACTATATAAATTATTTATTGATTATGTTGTGTTTTTTAGGTTGAGGAATGAACTGAGCTTAAACAACTATAATGTGTAGCCCGAACAAATAATAAATAAATTAAAACAGAACAATATTTCAGTTATATCGCCAGCCCAATGTAATTTGCCAAACCACCCAGCTAATTCCCACATCATACCCATAACTGATATATTTAAACTGAGATAAGATAGAAAGTATTCGAAGAAATGCCAAAAAATATTTTCAATTTAAAGTATTTTGTATAGTTATTGGTATTGTTTTGTCGGAATTGGGTTGTAATATAGAGATGACCAGGCTAGATCTGCAAGATTGTGGAATTAAGTTGTCGTGTATGTTGTTGTTTTATGGCTCTGGTTTTTTGTGCGGGGAAGGTGTTTCTTATTTAGTTCAAAAGTTGTGCTTTTAAGGGCGTTTAATGCAACTGATTGATAGATTACACTCGTACTGAGTATGTACATAGTTATTTGATTTGTCTTTCGTAAGCAATCTCTCCGTTGTCTACAGACACTTTGGGTGTTTGTCCAGAGATATCCGGAGGATCTTTAATCTTCATTGTGCACGTGATATATGCCACAACTCTTGTTTTCGATATTTTTAGCTCTGTCTCGATTAAATTTGAGGAGATTTCATAGTTCGATTGATAAGCTTGAAATGTTGTCAGATTTCAATTGATTTGCTCTAAGTTTGGCCAGGGTGTTATCAATACAGTTCGATTATGTCATTGCTTCATTCTAATGATAGGAAGAGTTGGGTGACCATTACGCGAGGTCCATGTGGGTGGAATGGATCATGTGTAAATGTGGGTTGTTCGCCGTGGTGGGTAGGTACATGAGGGTTAGAGTTTTGTAAATTTAATTAGGATTCGGCCGCTTCTATCCCCAGCTGTACTGTGGGGTGCTTAAAGCACCTAGGATAATTTGGTTGATGTTTTTGTGCGTGGGCACTATGTATGTTGGTATGCTAATTTGTATTTGTACATTATTTCTATTCTAAGAATTTTTTAATGTGTTAGTTTGATTGATTGTGCTTTAAATGTTTTGTTAGTATGGTAATTTTTTCATTTGAGTATTCTTGTATAAATAAGAGTTAATATAGTTAACAGTTCATTACAGTTGTTTGTACATCCATGTTTTATTGTATTGAATTCACCCTTTCATTTGGTTTTGCGACTGACTTAAAAGTTAGTCAGAATTTAAGTTAAAATATGATTTGATTTTTTTCTTGGTGGCTGTCACAGTTGCTGGTACTCTAATTCTTGCTTGTGATTGTTTTTTTTTTTTTTTTTTTTTTGTAGAGTACAAATTATTAGCTGGGGCTTTATTAAAATTAAGTCATTTTCTTAGTATTAGATGTAGAAGATTTGTTTTCCATTTAGAAATCGATCACAGTTGCTTCCATGTCTTCTATTATGGTATTATTTATTTGTCATTATTCTTTTCTGGCTTCTGCTGCGCGCTGAGCGTGTGTGTATAGATAGGATTTGAGATGGTGTGTGTTGCTGTGCGATGTGTTAAATGTGCACGTGTTCCTTCTGTCCAGTATAACAACTGCAGATTATGGGAACCTTGTTTTAGAAATATGCTAGTGGACGATTTCCTGGCTGTTTTTGGAGTTTAGGCAGTTACAGAGTTCCCTTTTGAAGCAGTTTTTGCGAATTTGCCAGCCTATATTATGGTAGGGTATCCAAAGCCCGGCACATCGAAAGGGAAGGGAATACAAGGTCGCACACGGACGGTGTCGTAGCCAATTTTAATTAATTCGAATATTGTAATAAGTCCAGTTTCTTGGAGTGTTTTGTATTCTTGGTTTGTGTTCCTTTTTTAGAACCTTACGCACTTCAGTTACGTTCAGTGTTTAAAATTTCTGTTGTTTTTTATCTTCACTTATGTTAGTTAAATTCAATACTTTTAGTAAACTTCTGAATTCATTTTCTGTTGCGGCGATATGAATGTGTCATTTTTTGGAGTGTCACTTTTAGTTCTGATAAGGACGGAGCCGTCCCATGTCCCACTTTTCCGCGCAGACAACGTCTATAGTTTTTTGTACAACTAACGGTGATACGACTATGATTACGAGTATGATTCATTGTTGATTCATGTTAATGCTATGTATTTTGGGCCCGATAAGTTCCGTGTTATAGGATTTGCGTCAATCAGGTGGGTCGAATGGGTGTTGCTTTGGACTCTAGCGCGATGTAACTGTTTCAGGTGTGCTTTTGTTTTTGGGTTTTTTCTTGTTCACCATTGGTTTGGTGGTTTTTATCACACGTTTGCTGATAAGCCATTGCAGAACGTCTTATCTGCATAGAGGTTGAGGTGATAAGCAACAATTTAATGACTTTCATACTATAATCAATAGGAAACCACATTGCATAAGTTTCAGTCAAGTAATTCAATTCATTACCATCGAAAACACCAAATTCGGACAACTACTACGACTCGGTTTATTTTACCTTTATCGCAAAAATTTGTAATTTATCTGTCAATTGAATTTAAATACGGTGTACCTATGGATAGTAGAAGATCAGAAATCGTACATTGATTTGATGCGGATGTTTGTTACAGATAAAAAAATATCCAATATCTCTATCAATCAAGTAATTCATAAAAGCCCGTTCAACTGTCTGACCCAGTAGGAGATTTGCGTAAATGTCAGTCTGCATTTAAATTACTCTTTCTATGTTCGGGATGCAGGAGACTCCGTCAAAGAGGAGGGTTCATGGCTTCAGTTTCGAATAAAATGGAATAGGAAAAAGAGTATCAGCTCAGCAGCTGTGCGTCAAAGATCGTTGGTTCTTTATTTATTCCAATGTATTCCTAATCGTCGATGGCTGTCTATACTGTTTGTTATGTTCAAATTATACTTGCATACCAACTTTCCGGACGACATCTATATACGAACTGAATTATTTTGTTTTTCATTTAAAAACAGGCTAGCATTCTATTCAAAGCGTTTGGCAAAACAACAAACAACGGGACACACACAGATGCTAACTCTACACTAAAAGTAAAAAAAAAAAAATAATAATAAAATAAAAAAGAACAAATATTATGGATTACGAAAAGAATAATTTGCTATCATTTCTGTATGGCTTGAAATCGATAATGAAGTATGATCAGTGGCTAATTATATTATCACATATTGACCTCAGAACAATTATTTTGATTTGTTCACTGATTTTTTTTCTTTGTGGTTTCCTGTATTGGTTAATCTTTGTGCCTCTCAATTGGATTAAGGTATGTCCTAATTAAATCAGAATATATTCTCTCCTTTTACCCGTTCAAGCTGTGAAAAGAGTCAATTCATTATGTGCAATGCCCGTCGGTATATCTGTCCGTGTTGTAGCGAAAGACTGATATTTCGAATGTGTATATTCTAGAGGCGTGGCAGATCGGTTAGGACTATTATACTATACTATATAACAGAGCTTATGCTTTAAATACTTGAGACATAAAACTATAATGAATCTCTTGAGGACCTGACAAATCGGAAAATTGAATGTCTCCCATACTTTTCGAGATACAAAATTAAATAATGGAGTAAATGGTGTTTCCCTTTTGAGACATGAAAAGCTTTTCACCTTTCAGTGGATCGTGTGCGAGTAATTTATAGTTTTTTTATTTAGATTCCTCGGATTTCTCACACTTTACGTTTATACAAATTTATGTTTTTCAATTATATAAATATTACTTTATTTTTGATAAACGAAGCTCGATTTCTTTTGTTAATAACCTCATTGAAGGATATAGATCAAACTGGAAAAGGAATAAAAAGCAATGGAAAACGGGCTGCAATCAATCGGTTAAGAAAATCACGAACTATTGGGGTAAAAGAGTTACCTCCACCCTACCCGAATGGGTGGTATGGGATTCTCGAATCTTCTAATCTTAGTCCCGGTGAATCAACACATATATCCTGCCTAGGAGAGCAGTTCGTCGCATTTCGGACTCTCAAAAATGAAGTATTTGTGGTGGATGCATATTGCCCACACTTGGGAGCCAATTTGGGCATTGGTGGCCGAGTTGTTGGGGACAATATCGAATGTCCCTTTCACCACTGGAGTTTTCGGGGAACTGACGGAGTCTGTACCAATATTCCTTACAGCACTTGCGGTGAGCATGTTTATGATTTATATTAAAAACAAAATCCAAGCCATTGTTTCAATTTACAATATAGTACCTCCGGCCACAAAAATTAAGAAATGGATTTCCAAAGAAGCGCATGGATACATATTTGTATGGTATAGTGCGGAGGCTTCTGAATTGCCTTGGGATATTCCAGAATCAAAGGAGGTTGAAAACAAAACAATAGTTTACCAAGGTCGCAATGAATTCCACGTACGCTGTCATATTCAAGAGATACCGGAAAATGGAGCTGACCTGGCGCACTTCCGGGCAATTCACAATGATAATATTATCACTGGTACCTCTGATCAAAAGCACAGTATATTCAGCTGGCTCGGATATCATCAGTGGCAGGCAAGGTATATATGAAGGAAGCAATCTTAATGCATCATTTAATTGGTACTATCGAATTCCAGTTGGAGCCCATCGGAAACCAAGCATATAGGTGAAATACAGATGAGCCATATGTTTGAATTATTTGGAAAGTTTAAATGTTTTCAAATGACTATAATCGGAAAACAGGTCTCTTTCATATTTTTCCTATTTTCTGTAAGATTTTGGGTCACATTTTGCTCAATTTTATTTCTAACACAGATTGGACCCGCTTACGTTCATCTCACTTTGCACTCACCATCGATCGGAAGCTTTCAAATATTTCAAACAGTTACTCCGGTAGAGCCTTTATTGCAGAAAGTGGTTCACAGATTTTATGGTAGCCCAAAGATTGCTGCCTTAATGAAGTTTCTTATTTTCGGGGAAACTGTGATGGTACGAGAATTACGCTTACAAATGATTTAGATAATAGTGTTTCGAATTTATTACAGTTCGAACGGGATATGAATGTATGGAATCATAAGATGTATCGCAACAGCCCACTGCTCGTGGCGGAGGAGTCCCCCCTAAAAAAATTTCGAAAATGGTATTCACAGTTCTACTCGGACAACAGCAAATCTTTTCAGTCTGCCAATAGTCAAGATTGGTAGAAGTCGAACTGTTGCAACATGTTGTAAGGAATAAGCTTTGTATGTAATTCGTATTCATATTTTATAGCTAATTCATGAATAAATTATTGGAAGCTCGGTTGACGAAACCTATAACTATCAATCTATATAGTAACATCGTATCAGCTCAATATATCTTCCTCAGTTTTGGAACTTACTCACCACATTTTAGTTAAGTTTGGAGATAAAGCTAAAAATCATTCAAAATATATTATCAAATTATGTATTCTATATTTTACTTTAAACGGTTAACTCATGTGACATGCACGATCGAAAAGAAAATTATTTTACTATCGACAATTATACTATGTACACATTATTTGAGAGACAAGAATGTAGATTGAACTCATTGGTGCTACGAAAATCAAACCCCTTTTATTTAAAATTCTTATCAAATAGGCAAATTATTCTTTCGACTAAAGGTGTGTTTTACCTCTTTGAAAAAGTATCTTATCTCTAGAGCCGTGGTCTTCCAAGGCGTAGGCTTAAGGGTATTCTCGATCGTTTTGTACGTTGAGAATGACAAACAATCCCACGTTCGTCCAAGAACATACCTAACATGCGAGGAGTAGCAATTGTTTTTAAATATTATAATCATACTAATGAATTTCTGATATTATTTAAGCTTTATTGACAGCTTAGATTATATTGAATGTTTCAAATTATAGTATTAAACGATTTGTATAAATAACGATAGTCTTTTGCTTTGAAGGCTTGTATAATTTTGTACTTTCTTATCTGCTTAACTCTGAACTTTGATATATGCATTTCAAACATATAAACAATAATTAAGGATCAGCTATTCAGCTGCTAAAGTCATCGAACAACTTTGCTTTTGCTAAAACCATTCCAGCATTTTCAGTGCGAAGGCGGGCAATCGATTCGCGCCCTTGATCCACATCAAACATATGAATAGCCGAGCCAAAGGCCAGCGATTTCTTACGGCCTATAGGGGTCTTGAATGGACCAGTTACAGTTTTGATTCGATTCTTATTTTTGAATTGGGAATACGGAGTTTGCAATAATGCTGAATCCTGACTTTGTGTGCAAAATTGGTCTTTATTTTCTTTTAGAGCTGAGTTTTGAAAAAATATGTTTGCTGGCAACCATTGCTCGCAGTTAGGCTCTTCTTGCTTGGCTGTTCGGTTCGAAACATCTGTCATAACTTTATCTGAGTCTGGTATTTTGGGTATGGGCAGTTTACTAGGAAACTTAGCTTCTGAGTTCAGATGCCAGGTCTTGTGCCTGACAATGTTTGTGGGAGTATTTGACTTCTGTAACGTTCTTAGTTTCACTGGTGAATTGGCATACTGTTTGGTAATACTTCTTCGAACTTGCCGTTGACATTTTTCATTGTTTTGTTCTAAAGGAGTTTGGCTACTGTTAGGGATTTTTTCACTGCTCAGTTTTGGCTGTGGAGCATTTGTGCTAATTGTCGCTAGACGATCAGTAATTGCGTCGTATTCTCTTTTTGAAATAGTTGGATCCAACTTTGATTGGATTTCACCGACGGGATCTTTGTTTTCCAATGCATCGGAAACTGAACTATTTAAATTATGTAACATCTTTTCTTTCTTTTTACACTTCGCCCACCCTGTACTAATGAGACTCCATCTTCGGTCCGTGCCACTTAAAGTTGTTGGACATGAGCTTGGTTTCATAGATCCTTCATTTGCAGCCGCATTTAATGTTAAGCGTCTGTGCCTCCTGCAAATATCAAATATAAACAGAGAAGTGATGTTTAGAGTCTCTGTTTGAGTTTTATAAGATTGCTAATGCATTAAATGCATAGTGTAAAGGCAACACAAATTCCTTTAAGAATACGTACTTTTCGTTTACATTGAGTACGCTTACAGATTTAGTAAACGCTTCCCTATTAGTGGATGTTCTAGGGGAAGTATCCATGGGCTCAATCATACAATTCTGTTGCGATTTTGCTTTATGCAAAGCTCTCGGCTTTTCAACTGATTTTGAAGGCGAATGAGCATGCCCAGTCGCATTAGCAGAAGATCCAACCATGGTTTTGAGGCCATTGAATAAATCTAGTTAAAGAAAATTTTTTATTATTGTTTCCAAATAAATTTTTGTATACTTACGACTTCTCCTCATTTTACTTTTGATGGCTGAGCAGTGGACGCCAACAGTCTTTTTAGTTTGCACTAAGTTCGATGTGTTCTTGAGTTTTTCTTTAATATGAGCGGGAATAGTTCCAATAATGTTCGAGTTCTTAATCAGCAATTCGACTAATTTAATATGATTCTTAAACCTGACGCTATTTATATCACGGTAGGGCATTATGCTGGGAGCAATCACAATTGCCAAATTTTCAGCACTCATTTTATTATATTTCACATGTCGTGTGATGGTTTGCAGAAATTGCATAAAATATGCCAAAGTATGTACATTTAGTGGCGTAATTAACAAGCATGCCAACTGTATTGATCGAATGCGATTGGGCTCGCCAATCATCAGACAGCGCACAAGTGTTTCATGCAACTCGACCGGTATAAGCGGCTCGGGAAGTTCTCGAAAAAAATAACTAACAATGTTGGCCACATCGATCACACGATATAATTTTCCCAGTGGTTGACCAGCTTCAAGGCATTTCTGCAATTAAACGTAGTTTGAAAAAGAGCGCAAATAATTGAAATAAATCTGTATTACGCGAATTTCTCGTTGTTTTGCAGCAGAGCCAGCTTTACGAAAGATCCCCTCCGTTTCCGAATTCTCCAAAATATAGCTACAGGCTTCTGTGATAAATTGAGGCACCTGAACTACAGCGCCGCTTGCAAGAAATGCGTCAGTCAATTTCAGATGCTCCAATCCCTGATGAAACAACCGCTGACCGCTTGAATGCTACAAATACGCACGTCACATCATTTGATGTCATGAAGAAATCTATACATTCGTACAATTTTGTTTATATATTTACCTTTATAATTTTTGGTTTTTTTCCTTTATGTTTAATTCCGATTTCTTTTAAATCATTCAGTACAATTGTCGCAAGTAAATCTGAACCAGCCATCCCTCTTCCTTTATTTTTTTATATTAAAAACGACACTATCTAATGTATAATCTGCACCTAATTCATATAAATTCACGGAATAGAGGACTACTTTTTTCAAATATAATTATGACCAAAACAAGATTTGCGCTTTGAGACAATCGATAGCAATATACAATTTAGACATTTTATATGTGTAGATTATATACAGGTAGCGTCGACTTGGAACGATGAATATGGATAAGACATGAGTATGAAGATACTCATTTTACAATCCATCAATGGTTATTAAAAATTCAAAATTTATTTGTGAATATTAGAAACACATATTTGGTTTTTAAAAATATACAATGAATACCCGTTAATAATCAAAGACAATTAAATTTTATTTTATTATTTCTTTAAATTTAAAAGAAATAGCATGCTCAATATTTTTAATTCACTCAATAGTTCTATTGAATACTATTTACAATAACCATTTTACAGATTTTTATAATACACAAATCATTTTTTGAATTAATTCCAAATTAATTCCAAATACGGTGGATAAGTTGGATGTATTATTAAATCTGCGATGTGTACTGTTAATAGGTTTGACTACTGAATGATTTATTGGTCTAACCACATTTGAATTTAGAGAATTATGTTTAAAAAAAAAAACACATGTATAGCATATAAACAATACATGAAACATTTTAAATTGATAATGAGCTTAAATAGAACATTTATATAAATATATACAATACAAGTTTTAAAAACATCAGAAGTAAGTTTTTATATTTTGAATGGCTATTGAAATACATAATTGTATCTATGTCAAAATATTCATCGGGAATACCTTTCAGAAACACTCAAAAGCATGCCAGCACTAAAATATCGATAAGTCTATCGCTTCAACTGCTGTCACCCTCAGCTACTAAAATTCATCTATCCAAGTATAATTTTTTATTTTAAGATGGAAGATAATATTGCTTCATCCTCTGTTGGAGATCTGGAGAAGAAGTTGCATTCGGCCAGACAGTCATTAATCTCGCTGAATGACAACATTCGCCGCCTTGTTGGAAGGGGTCTGAAGGAACCTAGGTATTTATTTCGAAACATCCTAATAAATACATATTACGAGTGCTTATTTTTCAGAGTAGAGAAATATAATCCAGATATCTTAAGTAAGAAAAACGAACAAAATGAAGATAAGACCAGCCAGCGTCACGACCCACTAAAACAAAAGCGGCGTACGCACGATGGAAAATTGGTATTCAATCGGGTTTCGGACAAGGACGAAATGTGGCTACCAACCCCTCGGCTGAATTCACGTGTAATTAGAGAATTGCCTTCGAGGGAGGAAATTGTTGAGGCTCAAGGAATCGATTCCGAGTCGAGAGCACGCAACCGTCGCATGTTTGGCTCACTTTTAGGAACACTACAAAAATTCTGCCAAGAGGAGTCACGATTAAAGAAAACCGAGGAGAAAAAGGCCCTCATTGAAAAAAAACTTGAAAATCAAGAGCAACAAGAAAGAGCTCTGCTTCAAAAAGAACGTGATTTGTTATTTTTAGATAGAAAGCGAAAACAGCTCGAAATCAGATGTTTAGAGAAGAAAATGGCACGCCTCAGAGACTTCAAAGCTTGGGAATCATCAATGATTTATCAACAAAATCAAATTCGTACAAAGAGCAAACCTCACATATATTTTCAACCTCGAATTCATACGGTACAAACAGAGAAGCTGCTCGCTAAAAGTAAATGCGAGTTGGAAAACCTATTGGAACGCCGCAGAGAAGATTTACAAATCGAACTCCGGAGGATTGAAAGCTCAAGTAACATAGATGACGACAGTGCTTTAGATGACAACAGCATCTATGAAAATAAATCAAATAAAGAACCTATGGAGAGCAACATTCCAGACCCACGTAAGTTACATATTTACTTAATCCCTATGCTCCTAATCCTTGCATTATTCATAAGAATATTCCTTAATTCCTTTAAACTGTAAATAGTGTGATATATATTATTATATTTAATGATATTCATATATTTGTCTCCTTATTTTTTCTTCTTCAGGTGACAACAATTCAAAGGAAGAGTTTCGAAATGTACCAAATGAGGATAATCCGTTAACTAGTAGTAGTTTTGTAATTCAAGAAGCATGAAAATGAATAATTATACAAATTTCAATGTTATTTTTAATTAATTTGTTTATTTCATCCTTCAATCGTCACTAAAATTATGTTTATAACTTGAATATTGGAAATGAACGTAACTGCCTAGCGTTGTCCTGCGTCCAAAAAGCTTTGAACTAATTTTCCACTTTTGTAAGATATATTGATCAAACAATTAGTATTTATCAATTAAAATATACTATTCAAGTTGAGTGCATTTGGTTTATCTGCGTTTAATATAAAAAAAAAAGACTAAATAGACAAGATAAACACGTAATTCTTGATTAGTTGACACAAAAAAAAAATTTTAAAATAAGAAAATTTTATTAAAAGATATTTTTAAGAGAATAGGAGGATAAACTGCAACTGCAAAATAAAGTGGTAATAAATTGGATGTTACATATAGAGAATGTTTTTATGAAAATGGTAAATCAAAGTATAATAGTTTATGATTTTTATAGGCTTCGGGTTTACCTCCCTGTCTGCAATTAATATAAAATCTATTTCACTTTATAATCGATAATTCTTCATTTCCAAAAAATCGAAAGAGATTAGTTCAAATAGCAAAGTGGCAGGATAAAAATAGCATTTTACGTGAAATTTGAATAGATTTCAACCTACGTAAATCCGCTTAATTTTATTTTTACCTTTGATTAATTGAGAGCATAAATATTAGAAATGTTAATGTTGGATACACCACAGTCTTGAATACAATATTTCATCAAACTATTTACTTTATTTATTTGCCGTCAAGCTTAATGATGCCCGACGAGCTTACCGCTATTATGAACAGATGTCTTCGTTGCGCCTGTTTTAAATGTTGGCTGGGTTTTGAACCAAGAAAATCAAGCAGTGTAAAATGTATGCTGACGAAAGCTAACTGATGCGAGCGCAGCATCTATACGAGACTGCTTAAACATACATACAATCGTTTGCGTTATATCGTTGTCCTAATTGTAGGAATATAGAAATTATCAAATGAAAAGGTTTATTTACTTACTATTATAACTTAACTCTATCTCAAATTCCACATGTAATTATAAAACCAGTCAGTAAGTCAGAAAAAAATTACTATATCATTATTTATTACGGGCAATCGTAAAATATATATCTTTGATGATAACATTAAACTTTTACCGTTTAGAAGTACATTTATATAATAAAATTGTATCAAGTGGGTATATAATACTTTAAATTATAATATTCGATTTAATTCCCTTAAACAGCATCAGCGGGACTCTGGAATTCAGAAAGAGCATGAATTGGATTTTGAACTTTCTTCTGGGATCCCTTTCGAACTTTAGCTCGAACTTCTTCTGGCTTCTCAGGCCGCACCAATGGCTTTTTCTCTGGCGCCTTCATTTTCCAAACGACGATTGGAGACTAAAGACAGGAACAGAGCAAAAAAAAGTTAATATTAACATATATATAATCAAAATAAATTAAAAACTTACAGTAACAGTGCCTTGTCTTGTGTATTTAGTTGAAGCCACGTAAGAATATTTTACGGTCAATACAACAGCATTCATCAGATTCTTAGCGGCCTGAATCAAAGAAGTTGCGCTATCCAGCTGAAAGATGTCCAAAATACAACTTTAATAATTATACCTAATTATAAAACAAATAATGTATTCTTACCCCAGAAACGATCAATTCGCCACTTATATTTTGAACATCCGCTTTGACCTTAGAAGTAATCTGGATTTGATGACAGTAGAGAGCGATGCGTTGCAAGTACGCCAATAAATCTTTTTTAGTGCTGCTCTCAGGGCATTGCTCTGCTATTTCACGAGTTAGCTTATCCAGTTTAGTACCAGCTTCAGATATTTTTTTGGCGGCATTGATAACATCCATGGTGGTCTTTAATGGGCCACGGCCTCTATAAAAGCGAAGAGATAGAATTTTTAGTGGGCATTCACCAGTTCATAAAAAGAATTGCTTATAACTATAACATTTTACCCTGTCAGTTAAATCATCACTGAGGTTTTCAATGGTCTAGAAATTACTTATTGTTTGGTATAAAATAGATACATACTGCGTGCTCTATAAGAGAATACATATCTAAACTATCCTTGGATTCGCTGGTCAAAAGAAGTGATACATATGTACAATATATGTATCTAGGTCGGGATCGACTACAGACGCTCAGAACTAAATTCTTAAATTACCTTGTGAAGTCCGTCATTTCCATCATTATCATACACATATGTTTTGCCAAGAAAATAATGTCGTTGCCAGTGTCATCCCACTTGGCGACTTCTGAATCAAATGTAAGTTTTTCGCGGCGAAACAACTCAACTTGTTGGGCAATTTTTTGCTTATCCTCTTCCGTCATCTTACGCATCGCTTCCTAATTAAAATAAAGGAACATTAAAGTCCAGTATTGTTTGCAACTGCTGACTCTCTTACTCTAGCAGTACAAATTCCACTAATGTCCGGATATTCGTCAACAGTTTGATCTCCAGTATGAGCGCTCGCTGCAAATGAAATATTAGTCAATTAGTATTTTTCTTTTTAGACCTAAACAAATCGCAAATGGCATTAAACTGAAATAACATTATTTCATATAAGCAAAAGCGAATTCAATCCATTGCAAAAATCAAAATTTTTTTTTAGTATTTGAACAGAGTAATTTTATGCTTACATCGACTACGAGTTTCCAATGTCAAGTCTTCTACAGGCTCAAATTCTGTGTCAGTATCTAGATCGTCAGAGCTCTGAAACAAAAATAAAAGTTAAAATTAATAGACGGTAGACATTTAAACAGTTAACCTAGTTGCTAAAATTAAATACATATGAAAAGCAACTCTACTTTTTGATAGTAAAAGAAATGGGACAGTATATAAAATTAAGTAATTTATGAGCAAAAATTAACACAGGAAATATAACTTTTTAACTCTTTAGTAATTGTAAAGAAAAATAGTATCACAGATGCTCATAGCTGTAATTCATTTTGCAAAAGTTTCCAGAGCTCCAATAATTTGATGAATTAAGATTTAAATGTATTTTATGCCCCAGAATAATGTTTATTGATATATAAAATTTCAATTTATGTATTCTTACTCGGTTCATTAACACTGCACGACGAATTTCACGAACACCATCGTATACCAATCGGGAAGCATCAATAAAGTCATTCTCATCCACATTTTTGTTGGTATTAGCCGAGAGGGCCTCGACTGCAGCATCAACTCGCTGTTCAAACTTGATCATAACTGTAAAATAAGGAATGACATTTAATTTATATTAATTTCAATGAGAATTTTGTGACTGACAACCAATGTAACTATTAGATCTGCAACTCAGTTCATAATAACACATATTCATTAATTTTCTATCAGTTTTGTATTTCTATTCTTTCTGTTAATGCTTTAGCGTGGTAAACTTTTAATGGTATTGGTATACTCTTCTCTCTAAAGATTAGATACATGATGACTTGGCAAATAAATTTAAATATTTATTCACTGCAGATTACACATATTTGAGAGTAAGCCGCGGAGAAAGAAAAACAAAATATAGTGTGGCCTTTTATAAGAGTCGATCACTGCGGTTGAACTGTTTAAGCGGGGTCCCATATTTTCGTAAGGGGACCCGACCAAATACGAATTGATTTAAGACAAGTTGCTCCAAGAGTCCCGCCTAAGTATTGTATGCTTAGTGATAAAACTAATTTAACTCTTCATTTAGTAGTCATAGTCGCTTATTATGTGCTAGACCTTTAGTACTAATTATAAATGTAAGTGCATCAATACATACCTTGTTCGCGTAGAACTTTAACTGCTTCCAGAACTCGTTTTGTATAAATACATGGTTCGTAGTTGTCCATCTCAGCCTCAACAACGTTGCATACGCGTGATGATCGCCCTTGAATAGAGCCAGCCGTTCCGCGTAGATCTTTAGCATCGCCAACTTGTAGTGCCATAACGCATTTGTTTACGTCTTCAAGAATATGATTTTCGGAGACAGCCAAAAAGTCGTCTATGGTTGTAATGTCATCCACAGCTTCTGTTAAAATTCGAACTTGCACCTCCCATGCCTGCCGATAGGCGGCCATGTTTTCTTGGGCAACCTTTGAGTTGGGTCGAACTGTGAGTATTGATGCTGCATTTATTACTTGGGGGCATAGACTTTCGATCTGGGCAGCCGCATATCGAACCATCTTAACGCCGTCTTCGTTATTCGACATGCTGCACACGAGATTCGCAACTTCAACTAATTTCTCAGCATGTTTTGTAAATATCTCAGCCTTTTCCCGCACTAGTTTTTCATTACCAGACTTAGCGGCTTCAATTAGATCAATTAAAGGCGTTGTTGTCTCTAAAAATGAATCCGATACATGGTCCACGACAGCTTTACGCAACTGCCTACGCAAATCTCTCGTTTTACGACACATTTGATCAATAGCACGATCCAGACCGGGGCTGTTGTCTTTTTGACCCATCTAGAGATATATGAATGTTTAGTATTAAAATTATTTCTGAATTTGCGTATGGCTTCAAAGTAATTTACGTTTGACATGTATTCAGATAGGAGATCTTGTAGAGCTTGACGGACAGCATTGCATTCGGCTACAATTCTCTCCCTGCGCTCGTCCCTTGTACAGTCTGCGTCGGCCATCAGGGCAGCAGCGCTGATAATACTCTCAAGACGTTCTTCAAGCAGTTGACGTGAGCGCTTATCGCTATAAGTCATGGGATCCATTACGATGCCCTCCTATAATGAATATAGGAAAAAGTGTCAGGTCTGCGAAATTTACATAAAGTAAAATAATCCCACATCAAAATCATCCAAAGCCGCAGCAAGCTCTCCTGCACCACTGTAAACATCCGTGGGCTGTGATGATTTGCCTTGAGCCACGTCGCTGATGGTATTGACCGCATCGCACACTTGCTTCAATATAAAATCTCTGTTGACTTTGGCTAGATCCAATTCCGGATGACGAACATACACTTTAGATGCTGTCAGAAGCATGGTCGAATGCTTCTTGAGCATTGCTCGTGCAGCAGCCAAGTCATCTCGCAATTGCGGATCCTTAAGCTCCTGTTGACGCTTCGCTGCCTGTTTGATGAGCTCTCCAGCGTTACGACCAAATTGCTAGTTAATAAATTAGATTATATTGTGAGAGTGGTAATGTTTCGAGCTGAATGTATTTTTACCCTCATGTTGTTCATAAGCTCGTCCTGGCTGGACGCATTCTTAAGTTTGTTTAGATCATCTTCAACAATGTGCAGCGACTTAAGCAACAAATGAACATCCACCATATCTGCTAAGATTAATAAGCGTGTAACTGCCGAGAGCAAATTTCTTGCAGCTCGAACCATGTTCCCTCGCTTCAAGGAACTGCAAGGATCCTCGGAAAATTCTCTTGCGGCAATGCTCATGGCATCTCCAGTTTTGCGCACCTCATCAACGGCAGAAAGCATTTCTTGTGTAATATCTGGGTTCTCGTAGGCAATTTGCTCTCCTTTCTGTATAAAGTTTTCTGTTGCTTTCTCAACAGCGGCCACTAAAGCACTTGCGCGCTTGGATTTGCCTAAAATTAAAAAATAAAATTACATCAAATAATATCTCCTGAAAATACCTAAACCAAGTTGCATTTAAAAAAATCAATTTGTTTTCTTTACATATGTACACCTATTTATGAAGCGATTTTATTGAATAAATTTTGTCTTTGATATGCGTTCTACTTATAGCTTTTAGCTTATAGCATTTTACAACATGCTGATAAATAATTAAATACAAAATCGACCAGTTTTAATGTAAATTATTATGAGTTCTAAAGACGAACGCCTAAATTAAACGGTTAAGACAAATAGATTGGATTTAATTTAAAATTTAAGCATTCAATATTTTAAGAACATACATGTCGCAATTCAAGCCAATTGCCAAAAGCCAGACGAAAACAATCTCTTTGCTGGCGCTTTTAATTTAATTTTATGTTTTTTTTTTTTTTTTTTTAAAGATGTTCAAAAAGTCTAATAAGCCATCGTTTGTGTACAGCCCCTTGGTGTGTATATATACTTTTGTGAACAGTGTAAGAACTGACATTTCTAAATTATTGGGTCATTGTATGGTGTAAGCCACTATATGTATACTTTCCCAATCAGTGTCACAAAGTTTATCCCTAATATACTTTGAGCCAGTGAAATTTTAGTTAGTTTCGTAATGCATTAGTGGGCGATATGCACATTCTTAGAAATTGCTTGTAACTGCAATTGTTATAGGTCGATTTTCTTGATTCTGCGTATTGCTTACGAAAACTTTGGTTATATTCAATTCCAACTATTTTTTGTAATTAGTTTTTCTAACTCATGGTTGACACGTAAATCATATGATACATACATAATTATGTATGTCAATATATTATTTATGCTTTTGCAAGTAATTTCTTCATTCATTGAAACATATCTCATTGTTTTCAAAATTGAATGAACACAGTGCATTGTTAAAAAATTGTTTCTCATCCATCTCCCAAGTAGATCATTATATATGTACACGTACATATGTATATATGCATACATATAATTACATGCGTACATCGTCCGTGTGTACTATTTAATAGACACACATACACAAACACACTACATAGTTTTACACGGAGAAATTTAGGTTGTCCACCAACCCATTTCTCATTTGTACACATAGTATTAACTTAAAATGTACTCATTCATTTCAGACTGAATATACGCCTTGAATGAATCATTAAACAAAAAAAATGAAATTTGAATAGCAGCCTCACCTTTTTTCTTTTTGCTCGGCCCTTTAGTGTTCACAAGCGTTGTTACTTGCAAAACTAATGGCTCCAAGGTTTTCTCTACTGACATTGTGCGGATTTCTAAATTTTTGGGATCCCATTTTAAAGCTATTTGACCGAAATCAGATAGGGTGCCCATTTTTAAAGAAAATTTGTATATTTTCCACAAACAATTTTCTTCACTTGTATTTGTAGGTAGACGCCTTTTGCCCTAGATTAGAGATGGTCATTTTCACCAATATACATATCGATTATATGATCTAACGATGATATGAGTACATACTGCTTGCGTCCACATCCACATCCGATAAATTATAAATAATAAGATGTAAGAAATGCAGAATCAGATGTCATATAATCGATCATTATGATTTAGTAATATATAAATTAATTTGTTTAAATTTTCTATGTATATAAATTGTTGTCCATCGTAATAATAATTTAAATGGAATTAAAAATACGTAACGTCTATCGTATCTCTTCCTAAACTTCCGAGAAAGACCAATCGAATTAGATTTTATTCTGATGATATGACAAGAAGTTTGTCTACGATGACCGTCTTTGATTTAACAAATTCATTCAATATCAAAATATAAAACAAGAACGTGCAAATATTTGTATTTATTTAATTAATTAGATTTGACAACTGTTTGACAAAGAAATTGAATGATCTGGAGTCTTCGGGCCAGTGCTAGGTCGGATTCTATTGAAAATCAATTGTTTTTCGGCCCTATTGAAAGGTGTCTTCAAAGCGAGATATTTTTGTCATCCTTTATTTATTTGTTGATTGTAGAGTTAAACGAAGTCATTGCTAGGTTTGGTTATTTTCTTTATTTTCATCTAAAAACCAAAATAGTTACATTATAAGAAGTAACGCATAGACAATGTATATAACTGTTAGAAATATATACAATCGTGGTCGAAATAATTAAAATACATATTTATTTTTAATTTTTGTATTTTTTATTACATAGAATAATGTAATCAAGAATTGCATAAAAACCAGTTAGTGCGCTGGTCGGACGACTAATATATATGTATATGTATGTATAAATGTATACCCTGAACCAAGCGTCGACCTTCTGCTTCATTTCATTTTTGAGCTATTAACAGATTTTGCGATATCTATATATGTACGTATTTGTCCATACATGTATGTATTCTGAATCGTGCGGGGGATTGAGGGTTGTATCCAAAATCCGATCGGAAATATTACTATTGTCTCAATGTGTAAATAAAATTCAAATTTCCTTCGCATTTTAAGTTCCCGAAATCGAGTCACCTTTGGCATGCATTTCAAAGATATCCTTGTCCTTTTCATACCATGAAGACGATTGAGAATTCACTGTGTAATCGAATAATCATTTTTTTTTTCACAGAGCCTGCCCAGAGGATTTACATATTTTTTTCAGGATAAACTGAGTCCCTCTAGTCCTAACCATATTTCATTGTATTCAATAGTGGTCCATGTAAATATCTTTGATTTCAGACAAACTTTTAATTTACCCCGTAAGTCTTCATTTGAAGTATAAAATAAAAGCAAGCAGCGTACATTTGTATATAAACTGGAATGCTTGAAACATCTCATTGGCTCGTGGTCCTGGGTATTTCCTTGTCGGACATTGCCGACATTTGAGCATCAATACGTTGTTGTTTTTATATTTCTTTTTTGGCTTTATTTCCAATTTTTTGCTTCGATCGATACAGTTTTTGTTGTGTCTGGTAATTGGCATTACTAATGTGGAGCTTATGCCTTTAAGTTGACTTAGATTATCAGTTTACTTTATGCATAAGTACATAGATATTTGCTTACTGATTTGGCCAATAAAATATAACAATGAAAATATTTATAATTTTCTGTTTTAATTGTTTCAGTTAAACAAAGAATAAAACGTAAATGCTCTTAACAATTGTAAAAATTTGACACATTGTCCTCTGTTTAAACAGATAAGGAACAAAAACATTGTATTAATGTAACTAACACATTTTCATTCATTGCTTAAAATATACAAATAGGAAATTTGCAATACACTGTCTTAAGGATATTTTGGCTGTTGAAATATTCTTAAAAATTTATTGTAAAATTTTGTGATACAAAAAATCTACGATTATAAATGTGTTATTTTTGTTTGTTTATTAAAATGACATGATTATTTTGAGCATCACAGGGCTTTCTTATAAGCCCCGTGGCAGTTCTATAGTCATACGGAACTATCGCGTTTTATCATTAATGGAGTTTGGACGGTAACTTCATCGTCGGATTGGCTTTGTTCAATTGAGTTAATTACGTTGGCTGGTGCTCCAACAGGGACTCTGCCCGCCTGAGCCTGGGTCATGTGGTGTAACGCAATAGTTCGGCAACGAGATTGAGCGATTGCTTTGGACGTTGAAATCATTGAACTATTAGATACAGATGATGATGAGCCTGCATATTCCTCCGCCGCTTCTCGGGTAAGATGCAGATTTGACTTCTCCGATGTGGTCGGTAATTGATGAAATGTTGAGTTTAGAGCGACATGACTTGTTGCGGCCACGTTAGTCTTATATCTAGCCCAATCATTACGATACGACTGACGGGGAAGCGTACATTGAGCAATGGCATTCGAATAAACATGTGGAGTTACATTCTGAAAACAATTTTAAATGTAATCGTTATAAAGCACAAACAATTTATTAAAAATATATGTCATCTGTTTAAGTAGCCAATTCTTAATCGAACCATAAAAACACTAAGAGTGTGCGTAGGTTTTTATATCGGACTATTCGAGTCAGATGAAAAACCAATGCAATGCCTAATCGTGTAATAGACATATAAGTAGAAATGTGATTTAAAGTGTGCTGTCTTGGACATAGTAGAGCCTAAATTTCAGTCAATAACTTACTAGAGAGTACAGCATTCTTCTGCTCTTACGAATTGAAGCTCTTGTCCGTGCTTCAATTCTTAACGGCAAACAGTTCTATTAAATTCTAACATCAAACTTTACCGTGGAGAGCTGTGTTCCCTTTGAGTCCAGAGACTACTCTATATAAATATATTCTCTCTGCTTACACTATCTTAAGAGAAGACTTACCACTGGTAAGGTTCTGATCGGTTGCTTCGCTGGATTAGGCCTGTCACTCCGTAAGGTGCAAAACCCAATGTTATGAGCTGCACAAAAAACTCCATCTGAGGTATTCACACTCTGTTCCAGCGGAGCATTAACTAAAAGATTCCTTCGAGGGTTGCAGCTAGTCGTGTCGATTGTCGATATGAGCTGTCGTTTTCGGGCACATTCTCTCTAATTAAAATAGTTATTAAAACCAATGTTTTATGGTAATTAGATATATAATCAATAGATGGATATATAGATATACATATAATTTCAAGTCCCTTAACAAATTTCGTTCTTAAACTGCAGATTGTATTGTACTTTATTCCCAACATATTTCTAGCATTAAATATATCAATGATGGTAAATCTTGTGTAGTGCATTAGATCATTAAAAATTGTTCATACTATTGAAAGCCCTGCTTTGCTTTATTCTCGACAATTTCGCCCGACCGTACTATTTCTTAGCTTATATTCCAATAATATATCAGAGATTGAAATTAGAATAGGAATTATTTAAATGTATTTTACATTTACATATATCTATTATGTAACTTACTTGTTCATCATAATCAATCATTTCGGGTACCACATCTGGATTCCTGTCATCACTCTCGTCCATATCTTTGCCAACGCTTTGAATGCTCGGGCCGGGCGACACATCTCTAGACTCACTACCATTAGACACCGTCTTTTGTCGCCTTCTTGTACTAGCGGCGCATGGAATTCGCAGTGCGAGTACAATGGCAAAAATGGCAATAAAAACTGCCAGAGTCAATCCAATAGTTAGCGATACCATCGGAGAGAACAATAATTCAGCATGGGGTTTGTTCGCTGAAATAAAAAAATGTTCTATATGTTATTAAAATTGCTGTGCTACGATAATATTTGTGAGAATAAATCAACCGAAAATAGTTTTCATCAGGCTTTTACGGCTGAATAGAAACTAGGAAAATCTCAACTGGATAAACAAGAACCAATAGAAAAATCTATATCTACTCATGCGAACAAAAAATATGTGGGTGCCCGGCTAGGAGATATCCTGTTCAAGACCGATATGCGTTTGTACCTCTGTAATTTGATTAGCGAATTATAACAGTATGCTATCGAAAATGGGCGATGATATTCTTCAATTATTCATAATTCTATTTTCAAATTAAATTTTCTATTAAAAGGATTCCTCTGTTAAGTTAAAGTACTACAATCGTGTCCACACCATAAGTATTACTAGTCTTTATATTCGTGAAAGTAACTTTGTTGTATTGCATTTGAACTTACTTTGTTCAAATGTTAGCTGCTTTTCTGGCATTCGTAGCATAGCAGCGTTAATTATGGTTGGATCAGATCGTCCTTTCGAGTTAAATGCATAAATTGATAAAACGTATACATTCCCTGGAGCAAGACCAGAAACTGTAAACCTTGGCACAGATGATGTGATATTTGCTTTTAATTCCTGAAATAATAATATTACATTACATTACATTACATTATTATGTATTATTTTATTTAAAAGCGTTCCATTTAAGAGCAGCATATTCGGACTCACCTTAGTGTTTGCATCCTGTAGCTCCAATATGAATAGTTGAGACAGCCCCCCATTGAAGCCATCACTACAAGTTGCCGTGAGTGACGTCATAGAAATGTTCAATAGTGTGCAATTGTGCACCTGATCTGGCCGACCTACAAGCCGTGAGATATTCCGAATATTTTAAATACTATCATTCCAATTGAATAGAATTGTTTTACCTGCAGCAATAATGTGATAAATGCACGGTACTCGTTGTCTGCCAATCTTATTGGTGGCTACACATAGCAGAGTCCCATAGTCTAGTTCGGTAACTGGGGTGTATGTTAGAACAGATGTTGTGCCTAGCACAGATCTCGAGATTATTGAAGGAAATGCATTATAGAGGGATCGAAACTCACCTAGACGATATATGTGATTAGTCGCAACATCAATGCTCTCTGCGGAATTGTTGAAAGTCCAACTGAAATCAACTTCACGAGGATTCGCATCGACGACGCACTTTATTTGAGCCTCTTCATGCTTTGCAACACCATAAATTCTCGACTGGTTTTGAGCACAAGTTGGAGCATCTAATTGGAAAAGAAAATGTTTTTAAATACATTAAATACTTCTAATCTCAATAAGTAATTAGAAGCAGCTTAAACTTTAAATAACTTACATAAAATATTCAGCATGAATGGCTCACTGATGCCTTCACCTTCTGCATTAAAGCCCACACAAGTATAATTGCCAGCGGTATCTCTAGTAACGCCTTGGAGAACCAACGAGTGGTTACTGATTATAACACCTTGAGAAATATTGTGCAATAACGGTTCATTCTGAAAAAAGAAACACAATTTGATATTATAATTTGATAACTGTAAGCAAGGACCACAGCCAAGCTATAGACCTACTTCTTTGAGCTTGGGTAAATAAATATTTCTAATCACTGAGCAAGATCTATTCAATATATTTGTGTTGATATACAGCTGTACTTACATTATGCCTCCATTCAATTCTGAACACCTGAGGATGGGCAACCACGAAACAGTCAAAGTACACATCTGTTCCCTCACGTAAGGAATTGGCATCTAGCGATGTACCCAATCTGACGTATGCCTCAGGAATGTCTGAAATGAAAATGAAATATATAAATAAGGACTATTGCCACCAGTCACCTTAACCAGACATAACCAAGTTCATTTATAATCCGTCGGGGCTATCGATGCTCCGGTTTCTAATCGCCGAAATTATAGTAATATAAAGTAGTAAAGTTTCCTTAACGTTATTAAAGACTGCCACCAATATCTGGCTGTAATTTATATGTTTATTGTTTTCAGTGAAAGATAAACCTCCTTTCAGCGAATATAACCTTTTCCACACATACAAATATTATTACTTACATTGAATATCCAATTTCCATCCATCCTCAAGCGGCTCTGAATTAATAGCATGATTGTAGGCCTTACATGATAGAAATTTCCCTGCATCGTTTTTGCTTAGATTTATTGAGAGTGTACTTGTGGTCTGATTTCCATCACTTGAGGTCTGTAATTAAAATTTACGATAAGACTCATGTATTTCAATATGAATGTTCAAAATGAATGAAGAGGTGGATATCCCGGAAAAGAGAAGTTGTGATGCACACAGTGCATCTGAGAAACGAAGGACCTAGGGTCCAGTACTGATTTTTACAAAGCAAGAGCTTTGGATTGCACCTAATATTCTTAATAATACAAAGGAAAGTAGTATCAGAAGAGACACATCAACCAGTAGTTAGAAGGTAAAGTTAAGTCTCCGGCAGAGTGGCGTACGATAATATGTCTTTTTATTTGGCACAAATGCTATTTTGTCATGATTATTTTCGAAAGGAAGAAACTGTCAAATTGAGCTCTATTGACAGTGAAAATGCTAGGTGAACAAAATTGTAGTTTTAGGTACGCATTCAAATAGTTTAGAAAGGCTCCACCTTGAAGTTCAATGCAATAAAATGGCTGATTCTACTTTAGGGAAGAAACGACAGAGTGACGACCTGATTATATATACCCGTTACATACTTTTCACAAAACCATCATACCCTGATTCCCCATTTTCAATGTGTTCAGGGTATAAAAAGTAGTATATAAAGAATAAAGTAGCTAAATAACTTACGGTTTCGGTCGTCTTTTCCAATCGAACGCCATTTTGCCACCATGTTATTACAGCTGGGGGCCTAGATCCGGCACTTTGGCATAGAAGATCATATCTACGTCCAGCTGACAAAGGTTGATAAGCCCCAAGCAGTCGAATATTCAATGGAGCAACTGTAAGTAAATGAAATTTCGAAAGTATTCTAATCACTCTGCACTTCTTTTAGGTACATATACGTACTCAAGCACGTATTAAAACGCGCTCTGCTCACTGCGCAGTAAGCAGCGACTGCGCTTGGGCTGCGCTGCTGGGTGGGCAATATGAGAATTTTTTTTAATTTTTAAAACTTAATCACAATGTTCAAATGTATGTATATTCCGAAGCACAAGTCTCTAGAATATTAATACGCCTTTTACAAAAATGAGGGTGGGGGTGGATATAGGGGTGGGAGGGTAAATTTGAACGAAAATCGAAATTGTATAATTTTATATTTTAAATTTCTCTAGCTTTAGAGATGTAGGAGACATAATTTTATAACTGATTTTCGATCAAGTTTTTTATCGTTTTTTATCTAGTCATCGTTATTTAGTGATAAACTCGATATCCGCGCGATATATACGAACATTCTAAAGAATAGTTCAAGTCTCTAGCTCTTATATCTTCTGAGATCGACGCATTCAAACATACGAATAGACGGACGGACAGACAGACGGAGGGCTACATCGACTCAGCTGGTCGCCCTGATCAAGAATATATATTTTTTATGGGGTCTGCCACGCCTCCGTCTGCCTGTTACATACATTTCAACAAAACCATCATACCCTGATTTCCCATTTTCAATGGGTTCAGGGCATAAAAAGACAACCTTCACATTTTTAATTGAAAAGAACGCCATTCTCCAAATTTCATCCATCGGTCTTTTATTATATAATTCAATTTTTAATGTAACTTAAGTACTGTAGTTGAACTCTAAATAATTGCCAAAGAAAATAATATTACTTACAATTCATGTCAATTTGAACAACAGCTTCGACAACGGAGGCTCTGGGATGATTTACTGCTTTGCAAACAAGTTTTGAATTGAGGTCGCTTCTTCCAAGTGGTCCAAGAACAATTTCATTTTGAAGGACTTTTCCGCCCGGTAAAATTGTAGTGGTGCTCGGTATTTCAACTCCATCCCTATACCACGTAATCGTTGGTGTTGGGTAGCCTAGGTGAATTAAGTCACGCGAGAAGATTGTGTATTTAGTAGGTACAAATATCCGAGATACAAATACAAAGATTTTACAGTATGCCACTCGCATGAAAAATAATCGAATCTTTATAGGACTGGGGCTTTCACTAGAGGTGTAAACTAAAGCTAAGTTTATCAAATGAAAAGTAAGAATTTCCTTGAACTTAAAATTAAAATTAAAAATGGGTCTCAGTCACAAGATAACTTAAACAGAGCTGTGGCAGCGCCTTTTTCTATGCTTCTATATAACTTCCCAATGATCGCGGCACTTACCTCCAATCACTTGGCACTTCAATGCAACAACGTCGCCTTCACTGTACGGGCCAACAACCGTAGAGCGCTCTACATTAGCCCCATCTCGAATGACAACTTGTTTAGGAGGAGCTGTAAATTGAAATTGTAGAATATTAATTTGACATTGATCCTAAAGTCGATAGATTATCATTGTATTATCATCGATCGTTATCGATTAATGTTACAAGAAAAAACCCGATAGAGAGCAAAAATATGATAAGAGTCCTAGTTACATATCTCGATCGTTCATCTGACGGTCTCAAGTATGCATTCCTTTATAACCAGTTAAGACAACTTACTTATGACATTCAACATTATGCGGGTATTATAAGTTTGAGCTCGTAGGAAATCGACTCGGCATCTATAGATTCCAGAGTCATTGGCATTCACGTTTTCAATAGAAAGCTTTCCAGGCTCGTTTTCAAATGCGAAAAATGCTCTTTCTCCGAACACCGTCTCATCGGACCATCTCTTTGGGGCTTTGGACATTCCCCCACGCATATCCACACTAAATGAATAAAGTGATTTAAAGTTAAATACATCATTTATATAAATATGCTTATAATAGATTTTATAATAAAAACAAATAAGAAGGCTATAGGCGAGACTGCTCGACTAGGAGATACCCTGAACCCTCCAATCTGATATTCTAATCATTCTCTACATACACATGCATTCGAACGCACGTACAAAAACACGCTCTGCTCACTGCGCTTGGGCTGCGCTGCAGTGTGCGCAATATTATGAGAATTTATTTGTTGAATAATTTAATTTCTAGACGTACAACCTTATTGAAACTTTTGGAACTTAATCATAATGTTTAAATGTACATATATACCGAAGCACTAGTCTCTAATACGCCTTTTACAAATATGAAGGTGAGGGTGTGGGTATACGGGTGGGGGGGGGTTGTTAAATTTTAACAAAATATACATTTAAAATTTAAATTTGGAGACTCTAGCTCTAAAGATGTGGGAGACCTAATTTTATAGCATTCATACATACGGACAGACGCACGGACGGACAGACAGACATACGGACAGGGCCAAATCAACTCAGCTCGTCGCCCTGATCAAGAATATATATACTTTGTGGGGTCTGCCACGCCCCCTTCTGCCTGTTACATCCATTTTAACAAAACCATTATACCATGATTTCCCGTTTTCAATGGATTCAGGGTATAATAACAACAATATATGATCATTAAATAATATAAATAAATTGACTTTAAACAGAAATATAAATTTAAAACTCTTATAATATAAATATAACGAGCTAATACAAATTCTTGATGCCTTTATTTACCTGTATATTGGTGTACCTTTGTCATCTCGGTACCACAGAACTAAGACAGCTTCATCACCTTCGTTAGTTGACACATTACAAGGGAGATAAACATTTTCTCCAATTAAGGACTCTATCGTCTGAATGAAAGCTGAAAGAGATATGTGAGAAAAAATTAGCAAGCAATGAAAAGGTAATTGAAATGTGTTATGAATTTTATCTTTAAAGCACATTAAATATATATTGAATTCTGCTAAGAATTTATTTATCTATCTATTCAACCTATATTAAAATTTGTATAACATTTCAATATTTGGCATTTACTCAAATTTGGGTTTACTCAAATTAGGGGTTTAAGGGACGTGGTACCAAAAATCATTGCATAAATTTACACTACAAATCTCCAGCTCTATTAGTAAACAAACTAGGCTTAAAAATTAAAGCTAAATTATAGACTTTGATCGATTAAAGCGAAATTAGAAGAGAAGAGAAGAGTATCGCTCAGCGCGTCGCACTGATCAAGAATATATTTACATATATTTTGAGGGCACTTTCACAAAACCATTATACATGACTTCTTATTTTAATTTTTTTGCAATGGTATTAATTTATTCCTTTTAGATAGAATAAACAATTGACTAGCAATTTATATTGACGAAAAAATAAAAGTTTAAGTTTCTGTATGTGGATTCAGTATAATCTAACTCATTTGCTTGAAGAAACCATAATGTGGAATCTCAATTAAGTAAATATTGTTATCTTGACAATCATCACAGTGACAATCATCAAATCCGCACCATTTTATAGATATGAATATTTATCTGAATGCATTAAATTTCACAAAGCTGCTTCAAAATATTATAAGTGTCTTTTCAACTCATTCATTCGCAAGAACTTTCAAAGATTGACCGTGAGAATCGCTGCTTGACCTTCTCTTAGAGGTCAAATCAACACACTTTTTTCAATTTTAGCCTTATTTAATCTGCTTAAGTTGGTTTAAAGTATATGTTAAACAAATGTGTTAGTCAGTTTAACATCGTTTCTCATTTAATTCGTATTATTAATAAAATGAAATCACCGCATTATAATGATACACTTGATCTAAAGATAATACTAAGGTAACATGAAATGATAGAATATTTGAATGTACTAATTTGTAATTATTAAATCATTATTAATTATTAGATTAATAATAAGTGTATACTTACCGTCTTTCATTCCAAGAATTGATTTTATAAAACAGAAGATAAATATAAACTGGAAAGACTTTTTCATGTTTTTGTTGCAGTTCATTTAATCACTTGAATATTATTCACTTATTTGCCACTTTCACTAATTAATCCGTTAAGAAGGAAGATTAGCTTAGATAATTGGTCGCTGAGTATAAAAATAATAAGAGATGAAACGGATAAGTGCTGATAAGACCATAGGAACTATAAGCTTAACTAATAATGGGGAGAGAGAGAACATGAACTCGATTCAATTCGAATCTATTTTAATAAAAACATATTTTATACGTTCTCTCATCTATGTGATTTTTTGGTTTTCTTATATGATCCATGCTTTTACGGACGCGAATAAAACAACTAGAGATTACTTGACTCGGCTAAGTTTATTGTGCAAGAGTAAGCCCCATGCAGTGGAGCATGGCAAAAATCATAAAAATGATAAGAACCGATTTTCCCTTTTTCTTTTGTTAAATAACAGAAAATTGACAAAAATGTATTTTTATGAATTCTGCAACGTAACATGAGTTAAAGTCCCACTGTACCCCGCGTTCTGGATGGGTTGGGTTGCAATTCGATTACTAAAGGAAGCCCTATAAATTTTAATACCTTTACAGATGTGGTCAAACGCTAGACAAATTATAATAACTCAGAAAATTTTGCAAGGAAAAAACCCTTTCTATAAAACCAGACTGGCTCATACTCATATATGTATATATTACATGTGTATAAACTTTTATATGTATAATAGTAAGGACGTTATAGAATCGAAGTTACGAATGTGAGTAGAGTATAAGCAACTTAGCATCATAACTTCTTGAGAATGTGAATAACTAAGAACAAACTTTGAACAAACACAGCTGCAGGATATACATGTGTATATATCCGTGTATCAAGTTGTCGGCTTCATTACTGAAGGATCTTCTAAAGTAAATGACGGAACTTTGTCTGTCGAGTCCAATAGTTTTATATAGAAATATACATATATATTCATATATAGTAAGAGAAGCCGCTGACTGCCTTGAAATTAAAATTCAGACAGTCCGCCTTAGTTTCATTGTTGATTTGTAATAAAAATTACTGTTATTATTCATGACCTGACCTGACCTTACTTAATAAAAGTTCAAATAGTAGAAAGGTCGCTAAAGACATTGCATGTATACATATATATGAGTATATTTAGGCATACATACATATGTACATACATCTTCTTCTATTCATATTCATTTGCTCGAATCTAGTAGATATGTATTCACATACATGTATGTGTGTTTGTGTATAGTTATGGGTTTGTGTATGGGAATGTGTATAGGTATGTGTATAGGTATATGTATAGGTATGTGCATAGGTATGTCTATATGTACTGCAGTATGTAACTATTACTTGACATTTTAGATATGCATGAAAACTTATACAATTTGATTGATAACGCCTTCATGTATTATTGCCATGGGATTAAAAGTCATTTGTTAGAGTTTTTATCATTGATTATACCGGTAAATACGCACACATAAATTTGGCACAGCATCTCGAAATATTCATTCGAAATTATTATTTGAGTTATTATTGATAATATGTAGATTTTTAGTTATTAATTATCTAGGTGGAAAACACTTTGATTTTTTGCTATCACTACGTTACTTTCGAGTTTTTATTAATACTTAAGGTGATTTTTGCTAGTCTATCATATTTTTTCTGGGTCTCATTTCAGAACTGCAAATTTGTATCTGAGCACAAGATTTCACATTAGTTGAGCATTTGCCCGGCTGCTTTAGGTGCAAAAGAACATAGTTTTCGATTGCAACGTTAATAATATATTATTTTCCTTTTTCACTCTCAAAACTGTGCAAATAACTTTCCGAGCACGTCTTCAGTCGAACTTTGTGAAAATCCTGCTAAACTGACGCATGCGTTTTCCGGCCATTCGGTGGAAACATGAGAAAGAAAAGTGAGCAAGGCGTATACATACAAATGCGCGAACTATGCTGAGTGCACACCTCTTTCATTTCAGATTTCAGCTCTTCAATTCCAGATTTCGGTCTTCCTATATATAATAAATAAGATTTGTATTCATTATTAATGGTTTTACTTTGACTTTATTGTTTTTTTTTTTTTTTTTATTTTATCAGGAAAGAGAAGCTTTTAAGATTTGAATTGTCTAACGAATATGATAATTTAATATAATTATTGATGTAAATTATAAAACGTGTATAACTATAAATGGTGTATTTAGGTAGTATTCTTATTAAGACTCAATTAAAAAATGATGGCACCTTACAAAAATAAATCACTAGTTCAAAATATCCAACCTCATAATAACAATAAAGAAAATGTTCTATACTGTTTTTATTTATTTTTGAGCAAATTTGTGCCAGAGATTTGAAGTTTGGATATTATACTTGCGATGTCTTCTAATGTTAGTTAAGCTAGAAACCTGAATAACCATAAGTAAATGAAAAAAGTCGAGTAAAGAGAGGGAAACACTGAATCGCTTCAGAAATGATTGCAATATTTTGAAATCATTTCAATATTAATTCTTCTGAATTATTATATTCCGATCTACGGTTGTTATTAGTTGAACATTCCAAAGTTATTCCAAATTTAAAAGAAGTAAGAAGGCTCTAGTCGAGACTGCTCAACTAGGAGATACCCTGAACCCTCCAATCTGATATTCTAATCATGATGTACTTCTTTAATGCACAAATATATATGTACATACATACATAAACATGCATCCGCACTCACTTATAAAATCGCGCTCTGTTAACTGCGCAGTAAGCAGCGACTGCGCTTGGGCTGCGCTGCACTATGGGTAATATTTTGAAAATTTATTTGTTGAATAATTTGATTTCTAAACGTATAACCTTAATGAAACTTGCAGAACGTAATCATAATGTTCAAATTTATGTACATTTAAGGGCACAAGTCTCTAGTATTTGAAATGCGTTTTTTACAAATTGGGGGCGTGGTATCCAAAATCTGTAAATTACAAATTGTTTGTATTCATCATATGCATATACATAGTAAATATGAAGTCTCCAGGTCTAAGAGTGTTCCAATGAAGCTGAAAAACATAATCAATTTTTCGATTATTCTCTATAAAAAAGTTATAGGATGATTTATCGAAAAAATAAAGCAAACTCGTACTGCGTATGGTATACACGAGTATGCATGCCGAATTTCAGCTCTCTAGCTTTTCTACCTTCTGAGATCGACGTACTCATACGGACGGACGGACGGACTCGGATATCGACTCAGCTCGTCGTGCTGATCAAGAATATATATACCTTATGGGATTTGCGATGATTCCTTCTGCCTGTTAAATACTTTTTCACAAAACCATTATACCCTGATTTCCCATTTTCAACGGGTTCAGGGTATAATGACAAACCGCATTCTATACGGTATGGATAGTGCAATATGTTAATGAAACTGCGAAAGTGGGTAGAAATAGAAAGTTTATAACAATGATCTATTTCAATAATAATTAGAGATTTATTACAATTTTATTCAATTTTGTGCTTACAATTCTATTATATCGAATCTTTTACTGTACATGACATCAAATATATGTATAAATTTATGTCTTACACAGAACTAAAACAAAAGGCAATACAATGAAAGAACATAGTCGATTTAAGTATGAAAATGAATTTGTAAAAGTAAAACCATATTTATAAAATATATACTAGGTTCAATTAGCAGTTTCGCATGCATCAACCCAATCATTATATACGTCGATAGGTTCGGACAAAAAGTTAATTCCAGTTTGAAAGTCCTCTAGACAAACGCGACATGTTATTTTAGCGGTATTCCGGCCTTTGTCCCTGTAAAAGTGCATTAGGTGCATTAATTAAAAGAACAAATTTTAAAATATACGTACAAATTACATTTTTACTTCGCATGACTTTTCGTGATTACAAAATGGACAATTAAACTGTTGATCCAGTGGCTCGATGTTCTTGCGTTTAGGTGGGGGTTTTCTCTTAGATTTTCTTCTCCCCATATTTATTTAGGGTATTTTAATCTTTTTAATTGATATCACTACAATTAGTTAATCGTGTATTAACAAAATAAATTAAGAAAAAACTTGCATTGTGGCCAACGAAATAGAGATGTGAGATACATCAAAACAACCGGCAATAAATATTGAAACATGTATCGATATTTACATATCGATATTGGCCTAATATATTAACCCTTATGTATCACTTGAAGTATTTCAATGCAGTCCCAACATATTTTTAATATAAAATATATACATATATAAATTTGAAGCAAGTACTCTCTTTCGTAGTTAGTGCTGACTATGACTCTTCGTCTGGTATACAAATTGATATCTTTTTCATATATTACTCTAAACGAAAGCGAAATCAATATAAAATTTGTATATATTGAATTATTTCACATGGCAGAGATCGCAATGATCATTATATTATTGAATGAAGAATACCATTTGCCGGATGGAAAACTTACGCTCTTATGTATTTTACTAATATAAATATAATAATACAAAATTTGCTTAGAATATTTTGCATGTTTTATAAGACATATATTTGCTTGCGTATTGCAATTGCGGTTGATACAACTCTACAGCTCGAATATAAACGAGTAAAGTACTCTGCGAATTTTACGAATAATAACGAGATCAACATCATTCAATATTTTAAGAGCTTTTTGCTGTAATGAAACGCGTCCGTTGGAAGAATGATACAAAAATTAATGTATACACCATTTTTAATATGTATTTCAATTTTGGCTGGAAAATAAGTGTATTTAACGCTTCCTATGCATATGCTCGCGATTCTTGCGCTTCCAGGCAGCACGACGTGATCCTCCAATGGTTTGCGAGTATCTGTAGCCCTTGCCGATGCCGCGAGAGCTCTTGCCAGCTGAAGTCAGGCCACGGAGTTCACGGTGCTTGTGAACGTGCTTGCAGATCCAGTTGACCTTAGGGTCACGGCAAATGGCATTGTGATGGATGTCCACCAAAATGACCTCGAAATATTTGTATGACGCGTCCTGTGCCACCCAGTAAGAATTCAAAACGCGCAGACCACCAAGTCTCCTTCCAACACGTTCCTGGAAATAATATTAATGGAATTTTGTTAACATAATGTTCAAAATTTAGATAAATTGCACTTAAGTAATAAAGTCAGACATCTAAGGAAGTTCGAAAATCATTATTTATCACGAAGCAAGTGATTATCATCATGAAAAATCAATTTCTCTAAAATATGCGAATATATACTTACTTCAGCAATAGACTGGAGTCCACGGTAAGGCTTCAGTTGGTTGACACCATGGCTCTTGGGCTTGCCATAGGTGCAGCCCTTGGGCACTGGGCGCTTGCGGCCGCCACGGCGCACACGAATTCTATAAATAACAAAACCTTGCTTTGCGCGGTATCCCAGACGACGTGCCTTGTCGGGACGGGTTGGTCGCGGCGAGCGGTGCAATTTCGTCAATTGACGATACTGCCACACGCGGATGCGAAGCAGGTAACGCATAACATCACTCTGCTTCTTCCTATACAACTCTTGCATATACCGGTAGGCACCCATGTCCAAAGATTGATAGACCTAGTAACAAACGGAATTTGTTATTAGTATACATAATAACGTGTCACATCATTGGTCTATTAAAATGATTGTTGTTTGGTTGTTCCGTGAACCTTAAACAGACAAAAGTCTATTTCAATTATATGTAATATATTAAATATTCGCTGTTAAGATCTACAGATTTTCAGCTATCCATAATCTTCCTTTGCGCAAAACGGCATAAAGAGTGGTGCATGGAAATATCATCATTTTCAAATTGACCATAAATTTAATCTTTAACCAATAGCTGAATTTACCTGTTAAACAGAAAAACAATAATATTAATAATAACTCAAGTGATGGTTTCAAAAACCAATTATATTTATCACAGTAGAAATTGACACCCACCTTTAAAGCCGACCAAAATCCAAAAGGCGGAAGTATGACAAGTTGACAGTAAGACTCCCTACCAGAGTTGCTTTGAAAATGGGAGTCGACATTCACATTAACATATAAGACAAATACTGTTATGAAACAGTGGAATCGAACAACAGTTGACAGAAATATGTGAAACCTTTATATACCGAGTCATTTGTAGGCTGAATCAATAAGTTATTAATTAATTTTGAATTTAATCAGTATAAATTAATCAATAATAAATTTTAAAAATTGAATATTCTATTTTATTATTGAATAATTAAACTGAGATTATCGACTCTGTCCAATTCTACCGTTCCGTTAAATATGTACACTAACCAGAGAGCACATAGACCGGACACGTAGTGTAAAGTGTTTTGCACACTTATTTTCGAGGGTAATCTCCCAGTCAACTTCGTATTTGCTCGGCTCATCACTTTTAGGGGTCGGACTACAAAAATATGCGAGAGCACAATCATTTCGCTTTGTGCGCTCGACCGAGATGGTCGTTGGTTGAACAAAAGATGCCTCTACGCTCAATGTTTCCCTTGCTCTCTCTCTCTCGATGCTCTTTGCTCTCTGTGCCCTCTGGTTAGTGATATGTATCTGGATTAATTTGAACCAGTGCTTGAACTCAAAAGTGGCAATATGAAGCGATAGGCACGATACATCAAACATTTAAAATTTGAAAAAAAAAATCATGGAATCATGAAAACTCTTCATTGAAGAGCTTCAATGCTGAAATCCTTAAGTTGAAATAAATAAAATAATCGTAATTGTATTTTGTAAAAGTACAAGCTAATTTCATAAACGTGAGCATTGTTTCAATGCCATTTCTTCACATTTCCAAAGCCTTGCTCACCAAAGTATTCAATATTATGTCCGTACGTATAAAACCGATTTTTACTTAAGAGTGTCAACCAATATTACTTGACGATA